TTTCTCCAAAAAGTACATTACAGTCCTTGGTGTATCTTCACGGCAGGTAGCTTTGCTTGGGGTTAGCTCTCAGGAAATGTGTAATATAGAGCTATATCAGGGAATCACAAAGCAGAGGCTGAAAATGAATCCTGTCCTTTCTTTCCCGCCTCCTCTGTGAGAGTTATATGTGATTGTCTGACACTTGTAAGTGGATCTATAGGTCCCCGGCTTTAACCGACGCCCAAATGAACATAACAAGCAGCCAGCTGAGTTCTCTCTTTCCTTCACCTGCACTATCTGGTTCACCTTCTACTTGTAAGTGCACTTTCTACGTGGTAGAAACGTGCTCCCTGGAAAGCTATATGGGTTTCCAGTAAGAACAGAAATAACACCCTTGCTTCTCTTAGGATTGACTCTGAGAAGGCGATCTAAGCAGAAACTTAGGTAACCGCCTCAAGGCCTGCAGCAAGATGCCACCACTAGCTGGTCCACTCACCGCAGGTATGCTCAGCTTCTCCCAAACTTCCGGCTCCCATGCCTTAGTGTGCTTGAGTGGGTGACAGAGAATATCGCTCTCAAATAAATGGGCCTACTCTCTTCACAATTCTCTCAAGCACGAGGTATTACAAGCCATAATAGTTTATCCTTAACAAGGAAATATATAGATTATTCATGCCCAAACTTAAAAAAAAATTAAAACAATTTAAAATTACCTAAAGAAACATGAATAATATACCAGCATAAAAATAAATAACGTGAGAAAAGATTTCCTTCCTCTTTTGCTATTTTGACCCTCCAACTTTTGCCCACTATAACAAATAATAAAGATTTTGGTTAATGATGTTCTCTGAATAGTGTGAAATGCTATTTTGATTTCTTCTCAAATCATGCCACTGTTTTCCTTAGAAATTTCTCCATGTTAAACCCAACCTACTGAAATGTGTATAAATTTGTACTTCAATTCAAATAAAAATATTAGTAGATCAAATGTAAACCAGATCTTACTTCTTACTCTGGAATTTGGTTTGTATTAATAAATTCTAATAAAAATATCTAATCTCTCTTAACAAGGATCCATGAATGATGGCTCAGAAACTCTCCTTCCAAAAATCTAGTTTTGCCTGACTCATAGAGTCTCACTCTCCATCCCACCACCAAAAGTAGTCCTGGCCATATACAGGTGCAGATGCCAGAGAGGCTCAGTTCAGTAATGGTCTTCTTTTAACTTGATATTATGTACAAAATACATGGGTTGCATGAGGAGAGAGAAGAAAGGTGATGGAGCAAGCAGAAAGTTCAAGAAGAAGCTACACGCTACCTGGCAGAAACTGTGGCTACCCGAGTTTTCCACTGTCAAAAGACCAAAATCATAGCTTTAGAAATGAAGGACATCTGTGAAATCCTGTTCAGGCTTTCAATTCGTAGGAAAATGGGCTTCAAGGAGGTTTGGTGACTTACTCAAGGTCACATATCTGGTTGGCAACAGGTCTAGGAATAGAATTTGTGTCTTTTGGTCCCAAGTCCTGTTTCAATTAACCCACAAAACATCTTTATGCCTGTATAGTCAAAATTAAAAATAAACCATTGGTCTGAAAATCTTTCTAAACTGGTTAACACAATCCTTATTTTTATACACAGAGTATAATTAAGATTATCAAACCTTTTATCTGTGAATCAAGGACACCGTTATGAAAATTAATGATACCAACTCTACAACACAGAGTCTGTGAATGCCGATTTGACTTAGCATGTAGTACAACGCTGAGAACATGATAACCGTTGTTTATGGATTTCTATAATTTACTCTTGCCACTCTCAGAGTCTCTGCTCCAAGTATCACCTCTTCCTCTACTTTCTAATTCTAAATTCATTTTTCTAAAGTCTGTTCTCTAGAGTAATATGAAATGCAGACTAACGCACACTATATTCGTTGCAGTTATTATTCATAAGAGCAAAAACAAAAGCCGTAAATGTCCAACATAGGAGACTGTTTGGTAAGTAGTACTTTCAAAGAATAGAATATTATGCAGCCATTAAAACGATCTATACTTGAAGAGCATTTAATAAAATGAGTAAGTACTTATGTAACAATGTTAAGTAAAAAAAGCAGGATATAAAACTGCTAGATATCCATCACCTTTCAAAAATGCTTGGAGTGAGGGAGATATACCAAAATGTTTACAATGGTAGGATTGCTGATAATTATTATTCTCTTAGTATACCATTCTACTTATTTCTATTTATTCTTTTAATAAAAGTATAATAAAGTCAGAAAAAGAATTTTTTAAAAATATCACATTGGAAAATATAACCTAACTAGTCACAACTATGTAAAAAAAAAATATGTAGTTTCTGGGTGAGAATCTAAAGCCTCTGTGACATAGTATGGTTGTATGTGGCTTTTTCTTCCTTCTTATTTCTTTGCTCAATTTCAGGTATGTCAGGTTGCTAGATAGTTGAATTATGGGGAAAAAAAGCATTAAAATGTGTATATATTTAAAGGGGAAGTAAGGATACTGAGAGGGAAAGACAGAAGGGAGAAAAGATTCTGAGCCAGTGCTTTCAGACAAGTGTCTAAAGATGTTTCATTAATTAGTTTTTAGAAATTTAGAAGCCACAGATGGTGGTTAACTGTCATTAAGTCACTCAGGTTGATTTATCAGTGGATGAGCATTAAAGACAAATTAACTCTCTAGAGACTAGGATATCTTCTAATTAACAATTAAGTATTTCCTAAAACTGGGAGAACTGACTTAGGAATATGAGAAAGTAAAAACTGGGATAGCATGGGAAGAAGCTAAGCATTTGAAGCATTTAAATGAGTATCTCAGTACAAGATGTTTATAACTGAAAGTATTAGATATATACTATTACCACTTTTCTATTCTAATTCTTGATTTCTTCGTATTATGATGAAATATTTTTCTGTTACATAGCAATAACTTTTCCTATTTTCTTCTCTTTCTTTGAATGAAATCATTCATCTGTGGACACACAGTGACGTCCACTTATTCATATGTACACAAAGCCCCCACCAAACTGAGCGGGTAATTTAACAATACATATTGCTTGACCTCTCAAAGCTTCTGAAGATCATTTTCGAAAATTTGCCTCCGGCTCCCCAAAAACTACATGTCAAGAAAAAACTCTGCACAGGTGGGTAGAGAATTATCCCTGAAAAAGGAAAATTTTAGTGGCGGGAGGTTGCAGCTGATGTGCATTCCCACCTTGGAATCCACGTGGGCCCTTCATCCCACAGGCTGCACCTCTCTTCTCTTCGCAAATCCACACTCACCATCTGTCTTTCAGGATTTAAACTAAGGCCCTTCTATAATATCTCCTTGAAAACTTGAACCTCTTTCACTATTCCTTTACTCCACATCCCCTCAGCTTAACTTTAACAGCTTGTGGATATTACAGAGTGTACTTATTCCCAAATCCCTCAGGAGTTTTTCTCCAAAAGCAAATACATGTGTGTTTTAGCTTTCCAGCTAGACTTTAAGCAAAATCTATGTTTTCTACATCTCAGATTCCTCCCCACCTTTTCAACATTCTTCCCCCTTTCTTTCAGCTGCCTAGTGTATCACTGTGCATTCAACGAATGCTTACTGGGTGAGTGAGAACCTGCATTAGCGTGGTGAAAGCTTGATCAGTAATTAGGAGGTTGGAGTCCCACCTCTACAACTAAGCAACTGTGTTATAAGTCTCTAGGTCTCAGTTTTCTCATCACAAAATTGTTGTGGAGGTAGGAAGTAGGTGGAGTATATGAGTTCTATGATCTCTGAGATGCTATAAATATTTAAATATTATTTTGATTGGGCTGATCATAGCCTTAATTTATTCCGTTAGGGATGAATAAGGACATAAATGAGAATTCCAAAGACAAGAATGTTAAAAGTAAGACAAATAGAAAAATCAAGTAACTAACCACCCAGCAGGTAGAAGAAAGGCAATGTGTCTGGCAAATTAATAAAGCCAAGGACAATCAGAGAGAGTAGAGATATCCTGGGCGAGGCTAGAAATACTGATCCTGTCTGAGAGGGCCGTAAAGGGATTAGAGGGTGACATATAAATGGGAACAGCTTAATAACTTTAAAAAATTACATCATTGGTTAGGCATATGTGTGCTGTTGTTTTTAATTTGTTCTTCTGTTTGCTATTCAAGCTTGAAATCAAACATTAAGAACGTCAGCATTGAGACTGCTTAGCTCAGGAGGAAGACAGTAAGACACATACCAACAACTTCCTTATGGAAATAAAAATAGAAGTTCCTGGTATTAAAATAGGGATTAATACTACTAACATCTGACCATTAGAAACCTATTTTCCTGTACTTTTTCTTTCATGGGGGGAGGTGCAGGGCGGTATGACCATTTTAATCAGGAGATTTCCCCTGTTTAATTTTATTAAAGATTTTAATAATGCCAAGTAATACTGTACTAGTTTCACTGAAATTAGGTTTTAGCAGAGAGACCATGTAATAGATAAAAGTGGTGTTACAAGAAGGTCTGTCCACGCCTTCAATAATAAGCTCCTTAGGATAGGATAAACTTATGGTGGCAGTGAACTGAAGTATCCGGTGTGATATTAGGGGCTAGGATTCATCTGAGGAGATAAAGAAAAGAGAAAATCAAGTTCAACTTGAAACTTTAAGAAAATAATACTTGAAGCAAGTAACAGTTCTTGGATTATCTTAACAGATGTAAAAAACTTTCAGCTGTTATCTAAAAATTGAAGTGACACTTTAAAAGATTAAATCAATAACAGGACATAAGTGATAAAAGGCCAGAAAAATTCCATTTAAAAAAGAGCAAAAATTTTAAAGAGATTTAATATTTAAGAGCCATTTTTAGGAATCTCTTGATGAAATTTTTGATGCTAAAACCACAGAGAAAAAACTTACTGTTAATCCATGCTATATAACTTTGGATCCTGCTTGCCCTTATTTAACCAATGTCTATAAAGTCCTGCAGGAACGAAAAATTGTGTGAATGTGTGTGCATTAAAGACGAACATACCTGCTTCATCATAGGATACAGTCAATTTTTCTAGCATTTCTCGGTCAATAGATAGAATCTGCTGTTCAAGGATGGTCTGGTAAGACAATACACTATTTTCTTTGTCTTTCTCGTAGTCCTGAAGATGCTGTTTAAGAGCCTCTGGGAGTCGAGATTTTACATATTCAGCTGCAGTCTGAAAATAAAATAGGTAGAGAACCCCATTAGTAGTTCTCATCTTAGGCTTTTCACTTCATCTCAAGTGCTGTAGTGAGAGCTCAAAGCACTGTGGAACCAATCCTTTAGCCAAGAATATTCTTGTCATTTAGTCTCCACTGTACCGTGTAAGGTACAGTGGAGACTAAATTTGCCGAATCACGGACCTGTAGGAGTTTTGTACCAGGTATAGAAGTATAAGAGATGATGAATTTGGTTTGTCATTAGTACTACTATTCAACTGAACTCAGAGTTAGTACTACTATTCAACTGAACTCTGAAGGCCCCATGATAGCCACTCATCTCAACAGTAAGCCCACCTGCACTATGGCATTCATATCTCATTAATGCTTATGCAGGAACTCTTGTGAAGTGAATAGAAAGGAGAACCCTCTGATAGGGCTGATAATGGAATAATGGGATAAACAAAAAGTGAAAATAAGACAATAATATTCCTTAACTGGAAAAAAGAACCGTTCACCACCAAAATGTCTCGGCGTATATACATATATATCTTAAAATTCTTAATTTGTTTGTTTTTCCTGCTTCTACACTATTGCATAATGCACGCCCAACCAGCAACATCTGAAATGACAATGCAGCGATTTTCAACCAGGTGAGCACGCTTCCCTAGGAGGAGGGAAGAAAGGCATGTGTACTTGGAAAAGGACCTTGCCAAAGACTCTAATATGTCCTTCTAGTGGGCTAGGGAGATAGCATACTCTTCTTCTCCCTTCTGGTTGAGAATCTCAGTTAAAGTGAAACAGAACTTTAAGGGAAAAATTAAGCAATAGAGTGGCATGTATGAATCAGGGAAAATGAAATTCTTAAAATGTGTCTCTTGAGCATGCCAAGAGTTTGGCATCTCCTTGCAGGGCAGTCCTGAGTCATATGCATAGGATCTGAAATGGATAAAATAAGTGAAGGAATGTATGTATCTTGTTTAAAAGTATACTCACAACCACTAGAAACTGAAATAAAAGAAACTATTAAGAATTGTCTCTGGGATACAGGCCTAGAATAAGACAGACATATCTACATAGTTTAATTTTTTTAAGTTCCTGTAACTGTTAAAAATTATCTTTAAAATAGGTTTTTTGTACAATTCATAGTTTTCTTTTTAAATGTTTACACAATTTAGGATGAAAGGAAACTTGTAAGAATAGTGACAACTGACTTCCCAGGAAAACTCCACTGGGAAGTGGTAGGAAAAGTTATATTTCAGTCTTTAGAGCAGTCAAATATAGCACACAACACTTTTTTTTTCAATTGCTATTTCTATTTTATTTATTTATTATTTAAAAAAAATTTTTTTATGGTGACATTCATTAATGAAATCCAATAAGTTTCAGCTGTACACTTTAACAGTAAGGCGTATATATATTTACACTGTGTGTTTACCTCCCATAGTTAGATTTCTTTCTGTCACCACAAATTTGACCCCCTTTACCCCGTCTACCTCCCCCCTTCCCCCCCCCTACCCTCTGGTAACCACTAGTCTATAGTCCATGTTCATGAGTCTCTGTTCGTCCTGTTCATTTGTTGCTTTTAAGTTTATATCTTACATATAAGTGATATCATGTGGTTTTCAACTTTTTCTGTCTGGTTTATTTCACTTAGTACAAGTATCTCAAGGTCCATCCACATTGTCACAAGTGGCAGTATTTCATCTCTTCTTATGGCTGAGTAATATTCTTTTGTATATATGTACCACCACTTCTTTAGCCAATCATGTATCGTAGGACAATTCTGTTACTTCCATGTCCTGGCCACTGTGAATAATGCTGCTAGGAACATCAGTGTGCAAATATCTTTTTGGATATGGGTTTTCAAGTCTTTGGGGTAAATACCCAGTAGAGGATTGCCGGATCATACGGTAGATCAATTCTTAGTTTTTTGAGGAACCTCCATACTGTTTTCCATAATGGCTGTACCAATTTGCAGTCCCACACAACACTTTTTATTTCCAGATTTGTATTTATATCCCCTAAGTCAGTTGCTGATAAAATTACAACTTTAAAATATCACCAAACATTATTCTATTTATTTGCCAGTCATCTAGTACAGAACAAATAAAATTATTCCATAAAATGTAAATGGACCCAGCAAAACATATTTAATTTTAGAGTTTAATAATAATTTTCTCCTGACACTGGAAAATGAAGCAACACACTGCAGAAAAACTATTTTAGAACTCATATTACCTTGCTGTTCAGTGTAACACCTGTCTTTAATTTTTTTTTCCTTGGAAATATCTATGAGGTACAGAAAATAATTCTATAATGCACATTTTACAAATACTGGTGTACTCTATATTATTGAAAGCATACCACACATCTCCTTCTAATTGTGTCCACTGATCTACTTTTCTAAAATTATGGCATAGGTCTTTAAACAGGACCTATATTTTTGACTATATTAAAGTTATATTTTGGCATTTCGTTCCTAAAACAGTAAAATTTCATGTATTGAGTTCTTTCCATTAGAAAAGATTCTTAAGAAAAACAGAAACAAACGATTCTAGCAAAACATTAGACTCTGTCAAGATATTTCAAGAAATCATCTTTATACTGGGTGATACTCTAAATGTATTTGAATGGCAGTTAAAACCTTATGTTCAAGCATAAACCTATGCTTAAAACCAGGCTGTCATACAAATACTATATGATCTCACTTATATGTGAAAGTCACTAAAAAAACAAACAAACCCAAAACCAAATTCGTAAATACACAGAACAGACTGATGGTTTCTGGAGGTGGAGGTGGGAGTAGGGAGGTGAAATGGGTAGAGGTGATCAAAATGTACAAAAACTTCCAATTATAAAATAAATAATTCCTGAAGAGATAATGTACAGCATGGTGACTATAGTTAATAATACTGTAGTGCATAGTTAAAAGTTGCTAAGAGAGTAGATCTTAAAAATTCTCATCATACACACAAAAAATTGTAACTATATATGGAGAGATATTAACTAGTATTGCGGTAATCATTTCACAATCATATAAATATCAAATTATTGTGTTAACCTGAAATTAACATAATGTCAATTATATCTCAATTAAAAAAATAGGCTGTCATATTAAGTGAGATTGGAATTATTGCACAAATAACATATAATACAAAGAGCAATTTAAATTTTAAATTTTCACTAGAATTTTAAAATAAAATGAAAAATAAAATGAAAATATAGGATTACTTATCTATGCCTCAATCAATAATAAATGCTACTGGAAGTTTAAATCCTACATTGCATATTCTTATAACCTAACTAATCCAGAAATAATAATTTTGTCACCATTATCAGTATCTTGCATTTGTGTGGTACTTAATACTTTTCTGAGCAATTTATGCTGTCATTATTCTGTATCTTCGCAATAACTTTGAGTGAAAGTAGACATTATTTGTATTAGACATTATTGGTTTGGGGCAATCCTTCAAAGTTTGGCTCGAATGCTATAAACGCTATTAGTGAACACATCTAATAGGAGCCAACAGTCTTTTGAGTATTTACGTAGGTATCTGTATAGGTATAGGTATTTTAGCTCCCCAGTTTGGCTAAAATAAGGACTGTATCTTACACATCGTTGTGTTTACCTAGCATCAGGTTCAGTGCTTTGTGCCATAGAAGCTTAATGTCTCGACTGTATCCAAGTATCAGGGACCTTGAGATAGCCTTTGGAGAAGACTTTTTGACAGTTCATAATTCTCTGTCTACAATCAGAACTTCCTTTCATGATTCCAGATGGAGCACAGGAATCTGGTTTTCCACCGGCAAATGGAATTGCATTTGGTCTTTAATTATCAGTGATGCCATTATTTTAGGAAACAGCTGAAACCCGAATCATCATTTACATACCAAAATGGTAAATTATATAACACTTCACGTACAAAGCTGCATCTGGAGCTTTATTTAATGACTTTCATCTCCATAAGTGTTTAATCCTCTCCATTCTTGCCTTTATTTCTTCATTTGGCATTTGGCTTGATTCTGCTAGGGACCCTCTGAGGAGTCATGCACAAAACCTTAGATTTGTGTCCCTGAGTTAAGGATTGCCTTGAAGGCTGTTAACTCCTCCACGATGTTCAGGTGTTCAGGTTTGTGCTTGTCTGAATGGTTGGGGAGATTCCCAAACAAACCCCAGGTGGCGGCGGAGAAGCCTCGGGGCAGACAGTGGAGGATTCTTAGTTAGTTCACAGGTCCCTCTGGTTACACCTGAGAAGAATAGTTAACAGCTGGAATAAAAACACGAGCTAAACGCTTGTGAGGTAAGGAGCAAAAGGTGCCCAATATACTTTCTTACAGAATTTGCACACATTTATATTATCCATGCCAACTTCAGCCTGGAAGACAGTAAAGGGCTAGAGGAAACCCTATAAAAAGTACTCAATGGATGAAAACAATAAAAGAAAGAAGCAGAATGGCTAAGCATCTAAATTCTGGGAACCGAGTAGGTAGAATGCTGACACTAGTCATTATGTTACAAGCACTATTTACCCTACAGTGGTATGTTCTTTAAGAAGTAACCAATATATATGAAAGAATTTGGCAGGCTGGAGTACAATGTGTAATTTAAAAGCTGTTAAATGCTTCACAATTAATCTTAAAAAGAAGACCCGTCAGCCATCCAATTCCGATTTATTGAGTGTCTGCTGAGTAAAGCACATTAGATTCGACACTGTTGGGAGAACAAACCCGCAATTTTAATGCACAAACAAAAGACACACACAAAATACTGGAAAAATCCATTTTACAAAGCAATACAAAAATAGGCATGAATCTTGAGGTGAATTAACATATTTATTTAATATATAACCTATGTTAAGTGCTGAATGGCCTCTAGGGAGAGAAATTAAGGAGAGGGGACAAGAAAAGGAATCAGGAAATCATTCTAGTGCAGTTTAAAGATCATTTTTGAGGTAAGAAACACTTACTGGAGGAAAGAAACGCAATCTAGGAAACAGTGACTGTGAGTTCATCG